TTTTTAAATAAAAAAAATAGCAATTTTTAGAATATGACCAAATAAGTAATGTCGGCTTATTATCAGGAAAGGTTTCTAAAAGGAAAGGGAAGCTACTAATCAATACATTCTTTAATAATGAACTACTACTGCATAGTACCTTCCTCTCAATTTACAGACCAGAATTCAAGTTGATAGTCTTTCATATCCTGCTTCATAATCTTCTCTTTCATTCGCTCTACCACTTGATTCACCTAAGTCAGCTGACAAGGATGCTGATAATCCACCATCTGATAGCCAGGAAGACCATAATGAACTGCTATAACTTTATATCATTTCCCACAGAGTATCTTTTTTGCCATCACTGTTATCCAAATGATGCGCGCATTATAAAGCAAAAGATTCATCAGGTTTCAGTTTTGCAGATTCAAGGAAGTATTCGCCTGATGTTACTACAATAATAACATAATGAATTCTAAAGTTTATTTCAGTAGTTGAATATTACACTTTAAAAGCTCTTTAAGTTACAGTTAGTCCTATTTATAAGCTCACTGTGGTTTCAAAAGGCCATCTAAATTTTCCACTTACTTTTCTGTCACAAGGAAAATTATATATCATAATTCAGTGACTTTTAAATTTTTTTCACCATGATACCCCGTAAGATATACATCATATATAAGTATGTAATAAGCAAAAGTTCAAACAAAGTTATCTTTATCATGAGAAGTTATGCGACATCTCCTATCTTATCTCACTTTTTGGAGTTTGAAAAACACAGTAGCAACAATGATCAACAGGTTTCACCGTTAGTGTTAAATGTGGTTAATAGGTAATGGCTTCCTAGAATGTTATGCTGAGGATTACGAGACATGTGAATTCAAAACAGTTAACACTTGCCGTGGTGCTAAGAGTAGCAACAATGCCAGGATATGATACCATAATTACATGACTAAAAGTCTCTCTTCACATTAAATCCTGTGCTTCTTCAGGACAGTCTATTATTAATAGGATGACACAAGAGAGGCAGTCACCTATTTATGAAACAGCAGATCTATCTAATGTGGATCCTACCTATTCTGTATCGGGTAGGTGATCAGAATTAATCTTCCCATAAGGGGCTATCTACTTGAAAATACTTATTTCGACCTCAGAATAACTAAGACTTGCAGGGACAGAAAAAGTAATTTCAGGTAGCTGGAAAAGCTAATGCAGAGGCAGTAGTAAAGTGCTAGAAGAAAGATGTCATTTTAGACTCATAGTTTAGTTAAATGAACACGTAAGAAAAATGAGAAAAATCTAACAAAAACTGACTTTGAATTTCAAAGATTTATTCAACCTCAAACTAAATACTACTCTCCCCTGTACTACAGATTTTCCAACTATAAAACACCATTAGAATTATCTGCAACTTGGGGTGCCTGGGTGGCTCAGTGGGTTAAAGCCTTTGCCTTCAGCTTGGGTCATGGTCCCAGGGTCTCTGATCCATGGTCCAGGGTCTCTCTGCATCAGGCTCTCTGCTCAGCGGGGAGCCTGCTTCCCTTCCTCTCTCTCTGCCTGCCTCTTTGCCTACTGATGATCTCTGTCAAATAAATAAATAAAATCTTTAATATATATATATATATATATGTATATATAAAAGAATTATCTGCAACTTGATAGTACTTTGTATGAAACAAATAGTTAAGTGAAAACCATAAATCCCCAAAATGTTCATCAATTCAGCAATTAAATATAAACTTACTTTCAAATATGACATAAGTCAAGAGAGGCCAATGTGTGTTACTGAAAATCAGGCATTTGACTTTAAGTCAACTGTTCTCAAAAAAGGGTAAAAGGGCATGTCACTACCACCTGGATAGCTTTTCCAAACTACACTGTCATTCTACCCTCCAATTCTGGTCCCTCCTCTTGATGTGGGCAAGCAAACAGGCACGAGAATGGAGGGGTTAGGGATAAAAACATTTCTTTCATGAGATTATTAAACAGTTGTTTCCCTCCAACCTACCACATTTACAAGCCACTAGGGCCTGACTGGCTCAGTCGGTGGAGCACTCGACTCACGATCTTGGGGTTGTAAAAATCAAGCCTGCATTCGGTGTAGAGATTACCTAAAAATAAAATCTTTTGGGGCACCTGGGTTACTCTGTCAGTTAAGCATCTGCCCTTGGCTCAGGACTCCCATGGGGGCTCTCTGCTCAGCAAGGAGCCTGCTTCTCCCTCTCCCTCTGTCCCTCCCCAGCTTCTGCTCTCTGTCAAATGAATAAATAAAATCCTAAAAAAAAAAAAAAAAAAAAAAAAAAAAAAAAAGGACCACTAGGCTAAATACATGTGCTTATAAATTTTCTAATTTCATACAAATAAAGCACTAAGTTGAGAACTGGGAGATCTGAATTCTCATTTTCCCCCATATCTGTCCAATCTGAAACAAAGTTACTTCTTTGTGCCTCAATGGGAATGTATTACATCAAAACTAGAAGTTATAAATAACTTCCTGGAATTGTTCTTAAGGATAAAATCTTTAAAATGTGATGAATAAGGAATTATGATAAGGAATTATCATGATAATTCCTTTACCTTCACTTAGGTGTAAAAGCATAAAGTAATCTGTTCACTGTGTGACCCTGAAGCCTACAAGACAAGACCAACCACCTAGAGCCAATTAGAAATGAAAAAGAGTGGGGAGCCTGGGTGGCTCAGTCGTCAAGCGTCTGCCTTCAGCTCAGGTCATGATCCCAAGGTCCTGGGATTGAGCTCCACATCAGGCTCCCTGCTCCTCGGGAAGCCTGCTTCTCCCTCTGCTTATATGCCCTCTCTCGCTGTCTCTCTCTCTCTATCAAATAAATAAAATCTTTAAAAAAATAAATAAAAGAAAGAAAGAAATGAAAAGGATTCCTTGGGCCTTGACTAATCCCTATCTTCAACCCCAAAAGCTTGGCCAAAGAAAATCTAGCTTGAGAATTGGGAAAACAGATTCCCATTAATGAATTCTTCTCAATATTCAACCTCACCAGAAAAAGAAATTATGGACTAATGAGATTTTTAGAAAGTGAAACATTCACAATTTTTAACTGAAGACTTTCACTGGGCATTTCCAGGTTAGGAATTGGGACAGTACACTGCAATTGTTAAAAATTAGTCTACGGCCATACCACCCTGAATGCACCCGCTCTCTTCTGAAATTGTTAAAAATTAGGTGACAGACAAAAATGTTAATAATCTTACCACCACCACCACCCCCTCCTCAGAGAGGGAAAAAAATCAGTTTCAGCAGCTTATATGACTCTATGGCTTTCCAATTTCCTACAAAATGGCCAATAGTAATGCAACTCATATGGTTCCTGGCAGACAGTGTGCCAAATAAGTATCTGTTGAATGAATGATTGATTCTCTTATTTCTCACATCTTCTACACCATTTCAGTACACCTGTATGAATGCTGGCATATTTGTTTTCTTTTAGCCTATTAAAAATTAAAATGCAGGGCACCTGGGTGGCTCAGTGGGTTAAGCCTCTGTCTTCTGCTCAGGTCATGATCCCAGGGTCCTGGGATTGAGCCCCCCCAGCAACAGGCTCTCTGCACAGCAGGGAGCCTGCTTTCCCTCTCCCCCTCTACCTGCCTCTCTGCCTGCTTGTGATTTCTCTGTCAAATAAATAAAATCTTTTTTAAAAATAAATAAATAAATATTAAAATGCAAATGGTGGCTAAAAAGACAAATTCTAAAAACTCTCATTTTGTTTCATCAGCTTCTACTTCATCATATGGTACTGTAGTGGGTATGAGCACCAACAACTCTTAGACCCACCCATAAGCTGGTTAAATTATTTATAAATAACAAACACAATTATAGCCAAGTTTCAACGCAAAATTAATTAACTGAGTCCAGAATAATGTAAGACCAAAGCAAAAATATGAACGAAGATATTTTTACTGCAAGAACTAGAAACTCCTATAGTGCCAGCTTCTAGCCCTATCTTAATGATGCCAAGTCACATCATCTTCAACACTGAAGTAAATCAACTTCCCCTATAATGACAGTGCAGACCAACTTCCTACTAATATCCTATCAACCATTTCCTCTACAGGAAAAGCAAAAAGCCCTACCAGTTCTCACTTAGCTAAAAAGCAATTCCTTTCTCATAATCCTACCATTTGGATTGGGTTCTGGAAACCAAAAAAAAAAAAAAAAAAATTTAAAAATCCCAAAACACTTGCAGCAAAACAATCAACTCCATCTTTCCCTTAATATGGATAACCCATCCATGCCAAATACCAGAACTGAATACTACTGTGTATCACTGAAGATGCCAACTAGGATGACAAAATGTCTAATATCTGGGCGTTTCTCAAATCAGAAGTTCCAGTGCACTATAGACTGTTACACAAATGTCAGTTACATCTGAGACATGGATAATGTTTTAATAAATGTGGTTCCCTCTTTCAAGGCATTCAAGGACAAGTGGAATATTTTGTAAACAGACTTTATGGCTACAGTAGCCTCAACAGCAGATTTAAAAGTGGCCTACCCTTTGAAGTGGGAGGATAGTTACACACACACACACACACACACACGAGGGGATACAGACATGAAATACTACTTCTCCTTAAAGTATCCATTCCCACGTCTAGACCCATACTTTCAACAAGCAAATTATGACCAACTCCATCCCTCAGCATCCCAGGAAGCTTAATCCTCTCCTTGTATCCTTTTACAAGTTTAATTCACTTCAACAAGCAATCCGGACCGAGAGGGTGCCTAATTCACCACCCAGAAAAATCAAGAGCCAACTTTCTCCTTTTATGCACAACCACTTATCTGATCTTCTTTCTCGCCCCCCTCTTAATTACTCCCTGAACTCCCCTTCCTCGCCACCAGCACGGACCTCTTTGGTACCCCCCACCACCCTTGCCTCGGGACTCCAACATTCCCCCATTCTCACCCCATCAACCACCAGCCTGAAGGTCTGCAGACACCGCCACCGCACCAACCAGACCACCCTCTCACCGGACCCCACCAGCCCAAACACGGCAAACTCCTCATTCAGGGAAGGGGAGGGCGATGCTCTTCAAACTCACCACACGAAGTCGTTGCTTTTGTCCTCGTAGGAATTGATGAGCCCGTTGCACAGGGGGGCGAGCAGAGGTCTCTTCCTGCTGCCGCTGCCGAGGCTGGAGCTGCTCCCTCCCACGCCGGCGCTGGGCCTGGCCGCGCAGCTGAGCCGAGACAGGCCCGCGGACACCGCCCCGCCGCCGCTGCCGGACACGGCGGCCGCCACCAGCACAGGCCGCGCCGGGCCCCCGAGGCCGCCCGAACCCGCGGCCTGGGCCGCTCCGCCGGACGCCGCCGCCGCCACCGCCGCGGAAGGGGGCGACGGGGAAGAGGACAAGGACGAGGAGGCGGAAGTCACCGAGGAGGCCGCCGAGGAGCCAGGGCTGGTCCCGGCGGAGCCCGACCCGGCCTGGCGGCTCCCAGACATCGTGACTCCCCCACCTCCGGCCGGGCGCTCGGAGAGGGACCGCGACCGCGACCCGCCGCCGCCTCCCTCCCCTCAGCCTCAGTGCATCCTGAGGCCGCGCGCCGCGCCGGGAGGTGGGGCTGAGGAACAATAAAGTTGATTTTTTTAAGGCGAGCCCACAGCAGCGTCCGACGGGAGGGGGCGGAGGAAACTAAGAAAGCGGAGGGGAAACCACTACCGCTGCCGAGGCCGCCACCGCCGCGGGCCCCGCCGCAGCCAACCGGGGCGCGCGGAGGGCCGGCCGTGCGCGCACGCGAGCGGCGGAAGGGGCGGGAGCGGCGGCGGAGACAACTTCGCGGGCCGCCGGGACGCGCACAGCGCGCCCCCGGTGGCGGCCTAGTAACGTCGGCCGCGCTCGTCCACAGCTGTAGTCGCTCGTGACGTACGGGGCGGGGCAGGTTGTGCAACGGGTGAAAAGGCTACAAAGAGGGGAATGAATGATAGGGTGGTGCAATGGTTTGGGAGCTGGGGCAAAGAGCGGAGTGCCGGCGAGAGGACTGCGCACGCGCTCTGGGTTTCGACCCTCGCGGCTGCCCCGGGTCTCCGGTCCACGCTCGGAGCGTCGCGGGCGCGGAGTCACCGCACCACGCCGGCGTGGAGGCGAGCCGCATTCCTGAACGTGGAGAGGGAGCGGTCGCTGTCGCTGTCGCTGATCGCCGAGAGTCTGGTGGTGTGACCTACTGGCAGGTGCTTCCGCGCTGCGGTTTGAAGGCTCTGCAGACCAGGACGGGAGGAAAAAACCCAGGAGCTCAGAGCTGTTGAAAAGAGCACTGGACTGAGAGTCAAAAAGTCTGGGCTCTGCTGTTAAACCATTCCACAGTATTGTGAGGACTAAATTAAAATGAAGTCGGTGAACGGTGCTTTGTAGATTCCGAACATTGTAGCAAATGTTAGCAATTTGATTGGTTCGACCATGCTGTCTTGTATCTTGAAAAATTATTTACCAAATTAAGCATAACAATAATGGGAAAACAAATTATATTTAATCTGAACACAGCTCAGTCAGAACCTCGATGTAATGTGGATCTGATACATTTCTAGCACAAAACAAGGAAACCTGGCAGTTAATACGCCCCAAAAAGTGTGCAATTTCTGGTAGTTTTTTGGAATATCAAAAATTGAATACAGATTTTCATTTTCCATTTTAAGGATTCTCAAGATTCCGGGGGATACAAATTAGAAACAACAGGGTAATTTTCGGTGCCCCTTCCAGCTCTGTCATCCTGTGGTTCCCAGAGGGAAAGATCCCAAATTTAATTCTGTCCTGTGAATTAAAGACCTTTCCCTAGGAACTTTAATCCATGCTGAAGAGACAGAACCAGGGAAGGGCCTAGATGAAGGCCCAGCAAAAATTCCTAGCCTTTCCTCTGACCAGTGTTCCATCAAAAGGCTGTCATCCTCAACTTTGACTTTACCTCTTACCTTAATATTACCAGCTCACGTTTCTGATCAGAATATGACATAGGAATGAGCTTATCAGATCTCCAAGAATCACCCTCCTTGTGTGAACATTGCATTACCTAAACACTTAATTTCACTTTCAAGACCCATCTGAAATATGAAGCCTTAAGGACACCTCAGCAGAAATATTTACACTCCACTTGGTGCTCCTAGGGTATTTTTTTTTCTTTTTTGCACTTATAACATTGTTATTTTCCTGGTTTATGTGTGGTTCTCCTCTGCTAGCTTATTAGCTTCAGCTTTGTATTCCCAACATATAATATACCTATGATAGGTGCTTATTAAATATTTCTTGACTAACGAATAAAGCAATTGGTCTCATTTTTAGTTTAATTATTTGCTTATGGTCCATTTTTCCAACTAAATTGTAAGCTCTATCAAAGACAGGACCATATTGGTTCTCATTGGGGAGTCAATAATTTCTTGATGAAGGAATGCATTAATAAGTAAGTGTTGGGTACCTGGGTGGCTCAGTTGGTTAAGCGACTGCCTTCAGCTCAGGTCATAATCCTGGAGTCCCGGGATCGAGTCCCGCATCAGGCTCCCAGCTCCACGGGGAGTCTGCTTCTCCCTTTGACCTTCTCCTCGCTCATGCTCTCTCTGTCTCTCTCTCTCTCTCAAATAAATTAAAAATAAAACATTTTAAAAAAATAAGTAAGTGTAAAGAATCTGATGAATATTTATCAAGTACTTAGTATACATAGACCTACACTGGGCAAGAAAGAGATAAAGAAGTTTATAAAACATTGTTCCTGCACTCAAGAAGCTTAAGGAATAATTGAAGAACTAGAAAAATGAATACAAAGATAAGTAACACTACCAAAGAGCACATACTACGTGCTTAATGAGTGAAGCAGAGAAACACCATAGGAGCAGAAACAAGAGCACTTGCTAAGGGCCAGCCGTGTGTGGCATTGGAGGAATGTTTACATCAAATTCAGGTACCTGTTTTATAGGGGGGAAAGCTTATTCAGCAAAAACTCATCTGGGGACCAGACTGTGAAAGTCTTGAATCCACTTCTGGAAATAACCTACAGGCAATTGGAAACAATGAAAGCATTGCAAGGGGGTAAAATATATTCAAAGTGTTGTTTTTAAGATTAAGTTTTCACCAGATTAATCTTTCAGAAGAGGTTGGAGATTAGGAGCAAACAAACTAATTAGGAAAAAATGATGGCAGTCCAAACATAGGTGAGGAGATTCTAGATTAGTGTGCCGACAAAGAAAGGGAGTATTCTGAGAAAAACACAAAAGAATCTATAGGATTAAGTTACTCTTTGTAGAAGAATCTTCACCATCCCTGAGGGCATGATCCATGATCTGTCTTGTTCATTATTCTTTTCCCCAGTACTTGGCACAAAGGCCATTAAGTCGATTAAGTAAAAAATGATGGAATACAGGGGCACCTGGCTGGCTTAGCCGGAAGAGAGTGTGACTCTTGTTTTCGGGGTCATGAGCTCCAGCCCCATGTTGGGTACAGAGATTACTTAATTAAAACTATTTGTTAAATGATGGACTGCAAAGAAGAATGAGTGTAAAGATGAGTCCAGGGATTTCAGCATGATGACAGAATTGGAGAAGGCCAGTGGCCAGTGGATGTTTTAGTTTTGGACGTGTTCAGTAAGTGGATGAAAATATATTCAAGGGGGCACCACAGTGACTCAGTGGGTGGAGCATCTGCTTCCACTCAGGTCATGATCCCAGGGTCCCAGGGATGGAGCCCTGCACTGGGTTCCCTGCTCAGGGGGAGCCTGCTTCTCCCTTCTCCATGGCCCCCAACTAGTGCTCTCTCTCCCTCTCTCTCTTTCTCTCTAATAAATAAATAAGATCTTTAAAAATACATGTGTGTGTGATATATATACATATATGTATATATATTCAAATAAACAAATCCAGGCAGTGACCAAAAATTCAGGTTAAGACACAGGAAAAAGTTCAACACATGAAAAATAAAACTGCAGGTTCCTGAGATTCTGACTCTAAGTCTGGGGTGGGCCTATGAATATGTATTCTTTTTTTTTTTTTTTAAGATTTTATTTGTTTATTCGATACAGATAGAGATCACAAGTAGACAGAGAAGCAGGCAGAGAGAGGGGAGAAGCAGGCTCCCTGCTGAGCAGAGAGCCCGATGCGATGCGGGGCTCAATCCCAGGACGCCGAGATCATGACCTGAGCCAAAGTCAGAGGCTCAACCCACTGAGCCACCCAGGCGCCCCTGAATATGTATTCTTAACAGCACCCAAGTGAACCAAACGCTTTGAGAAACACTGATCGTTCTGTAGGGAATGCCCGAGAAATATGTGAAATGGTCTCTTTCTTCCAAGTAGCTTATTGAAGAGACTTCTTAGCTGAGAAGCCTCCTAGAAAAAAAAATCATCAGTGCCTAGTATTACCTCTTTGGAAACTAGGTTCAGTAAAATCTAAATTTAAGAAAGGAAATGGAGGGGATAGGAGATGTGATGCAATGGAATTTCCCTTTCATATCAGTTAAATCTATAAAGACTGTTCTCAAAGTACACAGTCCCTATTCTTTTCTACAGGCAAAATGTTCTGGAAAAGCAGAAGAGAAAAGAGGAAGCATGGCAAAACACATACACACACACACCAAGGAATTCAGACGTCAGGAAAAGAAGCAAATAGAAGAAGAAAACATTATGAAAATGAAAGTAATGTAAAATAAAAACTAAGACTTAATAATTGAAAGAACTCCATCACATTGTTAATTAACCCTATAAATGACAAAAATGACAAGACAAAATCCAAGTCTTTTATGAAAATGCTGTTACTGAAGTAAAATCCAAAGGAGTTAAGATGGAATGGAATTACCAAAAAGATTAAACTTCGAGACCTATTTCCAAAGGGGCTAAGCCAGGGGTGCCTGGCTGGCTGAGTCAGAAGAACATACGACTCTTGATCTTGGGGTTGTGAGTTTGAGCCCCATGTTGGGTGTAGAGACTACTTAAAAACAAAATCAATCAAAAATAAATAAATAAATAAATAAATAAATAAAATCGATCAATCAATCAGTACAAAGTAACTTATCCAAGTATAATCTGTTAGGGCAGTAAGACTGCTGGTTTCTACCTCCAGCTAGTCCTGCCCTTTGCTAACCAATCTCTCAAAAAGATCCTTTCTAAAAAGCTTTATCTGCCTGATTCACCAGAAGAGTTTGCCGCCTGTTTGCCCTGTTTGCTGTCCAAGCAAATCTCTTAGTGAATAATAGTTTCCTGTTAAGTTTTTTCTTTTTAATTTAATGGGATTGCCTGTTTTAAAAAAAGAGAAGAGAGAGATGTGAAATAAACATGGTATTAAAAAGCTGAGCTGACGGGGGAAAGGAGAAAATATATTTTTTTGTTAGTGTTAATGGACAGGAGAAAAATAGAAAGGTTTCTATAATACAATAGCATAATAATACATCTAGAAGAAAATAATCCATCATCTGCTGGTAAAATGAAAAGCTCCAATTTATGAATTAAAACCAGAGATAGGGGAGCCAGGGTGGCTCAGTGGGTTGAGGCCTCTGCCTTCGGCTCGGGTCATGATCTCAGGGTCCTGGGATCAAGCCCTGCATTGGGCTTTCTGCTCTGCCTGCCTCTCTGCCTGCTTGTGATCTCTCTCTCTCTCTCTCTCTCTCTGTCAAGTGAATAAATAAAATCTTTAAAAGAAATAAAAAATAAAACCAGAGATAGACAGTTACCTATGGAGAACTCTAATTTCTTAAGAGTTACTGTTCGCAAACAACTTTTTTTCCGAAAACGTGTATCACACTCTTTTCATTGCTAGAATGGCATTGTCAACTTTTATTCTGTT